ATCTTTTCTAAGTTATTTTTAAGTTATTGTTACATTATGTTATGTAAGTTAAGTTTTAGTATCATTTCCCTTCTCCTTCTCTTCCGCCACCAATTTACACCTCCACCGTCGTCTATCCTCAAAGGTAAAGTGCAAATAAAACTACATTTTTTTTTAAATCAATTATTATTCTATTACGATTATTTATACATTTACAACTTCAAAACGCATTTTCAGTGTTTTCCTTACTATAGTTATTGTTGTTATTTTTTTAAATGTATTACTTAGCTTTAATTTGAGTATGTTTTTCTTGTTGGAACGAATTATTTGGTTTTACATGTAATCGTAAGGGGAAAATGATTCACCTTACGACATTTTCATGATACGATCTCAGTATCGGAACGGATTAATTTCGATATCCTGAGGTACCACTGTACTTTTAATTTGAAAAATGGTCATACAAATTTGATTAAACATATTCACAGATATATCCATGATGGAACTGGATATATGAAATTTCTGTAAATTCGAAAAGTATTGTTTCTTAACACACAGATTTTGAACTGACATTCAAAAGCACAAAATGTCTATTGACAGAAAGAACTGTCAATTCTAACTAAAACATTTAAAAAAAATTCTGATAAGAATAATCTATGGAGAATATTCTTTATTCAAAATTGTTCAACAACTTTTACATTTAAACTTTATAATTTGTTAAGCAAGGTTTGTGAAAATTTCTCTTTCAAAAGGTATACAAAACTTAGTTAATTTTATTGTTTCATCTAAGTACATTGGAACCTCGGTATACGACCTTAATCCGTTCCTGATGTTTGGAATTGTACCGAATAGGACGTATACCAAACCAACCTTTCCCATAAGAAGTAATGTAAAAATGATTAATTCGTTCTCATGTAAAAAAAAAATGAATGGCTTGAAACACCTCGCTTTCCTGGCTAGTTCCTGCTTCGTTTTTCATGAGGTCAGCAAGTATCTTTTTAGCTTTCTTGAAAATAATTGCTTCCGATACGCTGTCGCCAGCACACTGTTTTTCAGTTATTCAAAGCAAAAACAATTTCTCACATGATCTAATGTCTTTGATCATTGTTTAGAAATTGATTTAACTCCTTTCGCAACGTTAGCAGATTTAATAATGTCTTTATTTTTCACGATTGTCGAAATCGTCGTTCTCGGAATACGGTATGAAATAGTTAAATCTCGAACACGCGTGCCACCTTCATATTTCTCAACAGTCTCTTTTTTCAGTTCCATTGTGATTCTAGTCATTTTTTTATTTTTCTGTTGCCTTTTTGCAATTCATGATTAATAAAAGTAATAACATTTTACTTACAAATTAAAATAAAAAGAAATTTAACAAAGTTATAAACCGTGGCATCGCGAACGTCTAGTCTGGTCTGGTCTAATACACCTATAGTGCTACTTGTTCATAGATGGCGCGTATAATTGAATTAAGTCTTATACCGAATAAAAGTCGTATACCGAGCAAAATTTGTTTCGTCCAAACAGAATGTATTTCGAATTGGACGTATTCTAAAGTAGACGTATACCGAGGTACCACTGTATATTAAATGCATATGACAAATTCAAAGAATATTCTGACTTATCTTAATTATAAATTTTATCCTTTCTCGAACTTTTTATGAATAATATCTGTAACAAAGTATAAATTTTCTGTTATTTATCATCTATGCATGTAAATTTAAAACACTAATCGCACTATTAAAATGATCTATTGTGTACGATTTGGTTAAGAGGTGCATAAAAATCAAGTATAAGTTAAATGTTCAAAAAAAAAAAATTAATCAACTGTATTTTCACTTTATACTCAATCCATATTACGACAACTAAAAAAAAAAAAATAATCTATTTCGTCACGATTCGTTCTGACGACCACAAAATGGTCGTCAGAATGGTGGTTTGACGTTATTCAGCTGACCAATCAGCGCTCTGTACCATCTGGATATTTAGTCGTACGTGAGGACAGTACTGTATTTAAACGAGACTTAATTTTCTAATTATGAGTGGTTGTTTGTTTTGTGAGCGATAAAATAATTTAAAAATAATTTTTAACGATACAATAGCGACGGTTATTATTTTTAAAAAAATTTGTTATGCTTAACATCGATGAAAATTCAACGCAAAGTTGGTTAATAGCGATATATTTATATACTAATTACATGGGATATACTAATATACAATACTAATAATGTATTTTTTTTCATTCTTTTCGATTATCCGATTTTTTCAGTTATCCGACCAACCTGAGTCCCCAATTGAGTCGGATAATCGATGCTCTACTGTACTTTATTATTATAACTGTAGAAGATAGTAATTGAGAAATATTTATATTTCGAATATACTTTTACAAAAATTAAATAAATTATTCTGTGTTTATACAATTTATACAATAAACAGATATAAAATAGCAAGATGCCGGGCCGAATTTGCAGAAAAGTTAATAAAATGAAAGGATAATGGCAACAATTTAACCTTTACCGATACAGATTACAGATAAAAGGTCTTTCATCTCTTTCTTCATCTTAGAGATAAGAGAGATACTAATAAATAACATATTAACTTTAGTCTAGGCATTAGTACAGTGTCATAAAACACTTCTACAATAAATCAGTTAATTTCTTTCTTTCTTTTTTTTATTGGCCAGTTTTTAGCATTGCTAAATATGTCAAGGCCAGACTAATATTTAGTTTTGCCTTGGCAGGATATATGGATAAATTAATGTACCTGTACTTGCAGATCTGTTTTACAGAAATGTTTGATTTTCATATTAGAGTTGTCAGATTAAGCGCGACATCAGTTTGGGAGCGTCACAAATTGGTGACAAAAATATGACAAGGAGGGAGTCATAAAAGGACTTAAAATTCGTGAAACCATGTTTAATGGAATCGATTAACATAGAGAAAAGGACTTTTTGTTTTCTCTGTGTTAATCGATTCCATTAAAGTTAAAGCCTCTCTTAATAAACAAAATTAGCATTTTGTACTTTATAACTAATCGATATTTAATACTTTATAGGCCCACTAATTCAATTTCAAGTTTTTAAGAAGGTTGCTAATCTAATTTATTACATAATTACGCTTACCTTTTGAGTAAACAAAATTACTATTATTTAGTTAATACTTTAATTTTATAGTTAATTAAGTTTTCATCGCGGCTTCTGATAACGATTCAGAATCGAAGAATATTAACGTTTTGGTTTTTTAAAAAAAGTCGTTGAATTTTACATATTCAATTCAGCAGAATTTAAATTTTAAAAAATGCTGGTTATGGATCATGCTTTATGACATGATGCAGTGGGATTGACTATAATAGACATTATATATATATATTTATAACAATAGTAATAATAATAATAATAAACACAGAAACATACACNAATAAAAATAAATTATAGTAAAATCAATCTGCTGAGAAGATGCAGCAAGAATAACAGATCCTCTGAATGTAATTAATTACGTTGAGAATGCTACCATTTTAAATTACTGTAATTAGGAAAACCAATGGGCTCTTTTGCAGAAAAATATCTTTTCTTCTTTCTCTTGAGATCCTTCCTTCATAACAAATTAAATACTATAATTATGTGATTATCTGAGAAGTACACAATGTATATCAATCGATAGAGTAACCATCCACGTTTCATCTCCCATCTGTATTCAAATGTCTTGATATTTACTATCTCTAGCATATGCCATAAACCAAAATGGTGACTCCACAATAGAGAAGGCATTTTGTGTTCTGCAGTTTGAATGTTAGAATCACTCATCATTGTGGAATATGAGTAATCTGGAAGAGCTGCAGAAACTGTATTATGGCTGCTAGGGAAGGATGACAAAGAATATGCTGTAGTGAGTGCAGAAAGAATATGAGTATCAGTTGGATATGTGCCACATTGAGAAACTGTAATAGGCAAATGTGAAACTTGGACAATTTTCTAATGTATTAATGTACATTACAATGTTCTCAGATAATACTTTACATATACACAATAATTTAAAATGGTAGCATTCTTTTTGGAAACCCCTGTAATTAAAATCTAGTAATTTCCTTCACTGGCTAAATCTAACTTACACCTCAAAAACCTTTCAATCCAGCAAGAACTACTGGAGAATAAATGATTTGAGACAATTGAAAATGTTCATCTTCAAAAGTTCCTGCTGAATTGTAAGATTTTTGCAGTTTAAGAAGTTAAAATTTTTAACATAAAAATATTCTTCTAGTCAATGTTTTTTGCATCATATAGATTTAATGATCACAAAATTCTCTTTTTTAAACACAATTATTTTTAAATATTTAAGATGATATATTATTAAAATATTACAGAAAATATACCATAAAATTGCTTACTATTTAAATTTACACTTTAAAAAATGTGGAATTATATTAATATTTTTAAAACTTTTTGATTGACTTAAATATTGTACTTTAATAAAAAAAAAATAACTCACTGGTTCCCAGTAATTAAAGGTTTCATCACAGTCTGATATATTGTTCCAAAGTACAGAGCACAACCTTGCAAATAAAAGTACGACTATCTCTTTTTGAACATGGTAAGACAGTGTTTTCTTCTTTGAACTTTCATTTTCTGATCTAAATAAAAAGGTTTTAAGAATTTAAAACTTTCTGATATACTTAATAAAATTATGCATCATTTGTTTGTTGAATTACCTTATAGTATTAACTCTTTCTTGATGAATTTTTGATGCATTGAACTTTCTATTTCTTGTGGACGTCTTCATATTTAACACATTCCTTATGGTAAGAATTTTGATTAATAATCATCATGAAAAAATTTAATATTAATAAAATTCATTAAAGTCTTATAGTAAGAGCAGTTTTATTTTGAACTTGATTAGTTTCAAATCATAGATAATTTTCTTTTATTTTTTTAAACTTTCTGTCCATTAGATCTTTCCATATCCATCATGGATTTGATCAGATCAAAACGGAGATGACTGAATGGTGAGAGAATGGATCCAATACACATGAGACTGACCACCCATGAAAAATTTCTGGAGTGTTTCTTGCCCAAACTTGATTCTGGGTCCTCCAGAGTGGTAAGCTGATGCCTTAACTGCCTCACTCATCCAGTCATCACATATGGTTACTTAGTATATTTTAATGTTGCTTTCTGAAGAACTGGAAAAAATATTTATGTAAACAGTAATAACATGACTTATATTAAAACTCAGTTTTTCATGAATAAGGGTAATTTTTTTAATTATTATTCCTTTGAAAAATGTGTATCAATTTAATATTAAATTTCCAACTATGATTTACTACTATTTTAAATACTGAAAAGATTTCAAGTAACAAATCTCAAACTTTCAAATGCATTATCACAATTAGAGAGTTTAGTAACATAAAAACGGTTTCAATATTGCCTACAATGTCTTGCATTACTAGGGCCATAGAAAGGGGAAGTGGTCTACTCCAAAAACAGAGCAGTTGCTATAATTACAGCTTTAGTCTCCATAAAGATTTCTCTTTTATACCCTGTTATTTCAACATTTCTAATTTCTAAATCTTCTTGGATAGAGACATACGAATTCCCAGGAAGGAGGAAAGCAATACCAATAACCCTTTCCTCTATGAAAAGTCTATTGGTTTGGTTGGACAGTGTTACATGCTGACAGTGATTTGAAATTAAATTGTATTCAAAACATTGGAACAAAAAGTAGTTCAGCGAGTGTCCACTTTTTACTGCTAACCAGCAGTGCCTGCACACTATAAAAATGGGGGAACAAGCTATAATATAAAAAGAGTATAGAACATTATGCAAGAAGCTTCAAACTCTATTTGATTTCAGATCAGTGCTTCCACAAGCTGTCTCTGGTTGCACTCAGGCTAACTTGGCCTCAAAAACAAAGAATGTGCTTTTGGTCAATAAAATAAAAAAATTGCATAAGAAAATATTATACAAATAAAAAATTGTGCAGACTAGAAGGCACAAATTTTCTGTTGTTTGTTGATAATGGAATAACCCCTTGGGGGTTAGAAAAAGGGAAACCAAGACAAAAAAGGAGGGCATGTAATCCAAGTGTTTCAACATACAGGCACCCCTGTTGCTAACATTACAAATACAATTCTCCAGATATGTTCCTATGGTGTAATTCACATTGCTTACATAAATGGCATGATGATTATGTCTAGTTACCTGGATGAATACATAATCTTATTTAAATCGTTCTGAAGATTTTGATCTCTTTTTGCTCACCTGCATAAACTTAGTATTTATTTGCTTAACATAATAAATGTTCCCAAAAAATTAACAAAACAGAATTTACCTAATTTATTAGAATCTGAATTCAAGTGAATTTTTAAGGATTGTGTATATCATTAACATATTTAGATTTATACATACTACCACCATAAGCAATCAAATTTGGTACAAATTCAGCTCTGAATGATGCAATTGGGATATTATCAGAGCTGTATACCATGCCCATAGAAGTAAAAAATATCAAAGGAACTGATGTGATTCTTTGCAAGATCTCTCAAAATCATCCTATCCAGTTGCTAAACACACAATAGACTTAACAGAATGCACAATACAACCCCAATCACATCCCAGTAGTAGTCGGTGCAATGGTGTTTCTCATGTTTTATGAGCTTTTAGCCATCTCTAGTAAAGTGGAAAACAATTGATTTTTAGTATTGCTTTGAGAAATAGTTCCATATTTTTTTCACTTTTAGATTTTTACCCATTTTTGAGGATCTTCAAAATTCCAGATAGGCTGATTTCAAAGGGCTAATATCTAGTAAACGATCACATGTAGACCATCAGTTCCTTTGACTTTTTTTACACCTACAGGCATGTTTCCTTTTTTGTTGCTATGGGTATGCTCTACAGCTCCTGTTAAGGTCCCAAACATATCATTCAAAGTTTGAATTGAGCCATATTTAATTAATACCTTTTACACTTTATTAAAAAAACATTGTAAACATTAGTGTTATCCAATTATAGAATAATATAAAACGGGAATAAAGTCGCATTTTAAACAAAATACGTTACATTTTTTACGAAAACTTATTTTAAGCATTACAATTTTAAATTTGAAATGTGTCAATTTCGCCACGCGTGTTCATTCGCTTGTTTCACGATAACACTTGAGTAAACTGGTTATGCCATCTGCCGTAATAAAAGAGAAATATATTTTTAAATTAAACGTAAATTTGCAGTCGTAAGCAAATTACATTTAGGTTTCTTATATAAGAAGATAATCGATAGATTATTCTAAGTAAGTATTACACGAACGTATTTTCAGTACTGTTTTAGAGCAACTAAAATATTATTATGATAATTAAAAGTGATCCGGATGAAGTAAACGAAAATAATAATTGGAGAAAATACACGAAAAAATAGCAATAATATACCTTCTGCAACACACGGTACACACCTCGAAGTAAACACACGTTTTTCACAACTCGCGCCCTCTGTATGATATGAACTTGAAGTAATAAATTAAATGCATTTTTTTATATATTTTGTGACCCAATTATTTATGGTAGATGTCTCTAGGAATAATATTTGAAACAAGTTGGTCAAGCACCACTAAAGTCTACTCCTCACAAATTAAATACATGTTGTTTTTGTGAATATAACTATATTTCATTACTTTTTAATGATGTAAATCAAGAACATAATCATTTACACTTACCAAGGTTAATGAAGAAGTAAATGCCATAATGAAAACAATGTTAAAATTCAAGAAACCATTGAAGAAATAATATGTCCATGGTTCTACACCTGAAAATATAAATTTGCTAACTTGCTTAAAACTTTGTTTATAACTTAATAATATTGTTTATAACAACAATATTATTATTCTATTCTATTCATTTTAAAAATTTTATTTGCAAATAAATATTTTAAAATATAATTTTCTACTATCTCTAAGATCATTTTTACAATTGCACATTCATTCCACTTAATAATAAAGTTTGCAAATTAGAAATAAAAACTGTACTTCAAATTCCAAAAGCATCACAACTTTTTTACAAGGAAGAAAAAGAAAAATTTTAAACACTTTTGCCATCCTTTCTCCAAGTGTTTCCCCCTGTAGAGTTGAATATTGTCAATACTGCCCAAAATTTAAAATATAAGTACAATTGTCCCTCTATAGTCTGACGTTTTTTAATCCGACATGCTCAGTAGTCCGACGCACTTCCCGTCAAGGTACCCGTCCCTGTTACTTGTCTGCTTGCACAGAAGCATGTTGTGATGTGAATCTCCCCATCCAATTCTTACTCGATGACACACATTTCGTGTGTTTTATGTGAGCAGTTCTGTTCGAACAGTTGGAGTAGAGAATATTGTAGGCTACTGCTAGCAAAACAATGCGAAATATGTAATTATTTTCGGTAATCCGGACACTTTTGGTAATCTGACACACCTTTGGTCCCATACCTGTCGGATTATCAAGGGACAACTGTATAT